CATCCCAACCCCCCAAATCCCATCCCAACCCCCTCCAATCCCATCCCAACCCCCCCAAATCCCCCCCAATCCCCCCCTAACCCCATCCCAACCCCCCAAATCCCATCCCAACCCCCCCCAATCCCCCCGTTTGACTCACGCTCTGTGCCGGGGGGATCTGGCCGGGCAGCACCTGCTGGGGGGGGAGGGAGCCCGGGGGGAGCCCCCCGGGGGCGATGCCGGGGGGGGGGATCATGCCCGGGGGGGGGATGTAGGGGGGCTGCCCCAGGTGGTGCAGCAGCCGCGGGGGCTGCGACAGCGCGGGCAGGCCCTGCGGAGGGACGGGGGGTTAGGGGGGAAAAATGGGAAAAAAGGCACAAAAAGGGCGCAAAATAGCACAAAAACAGCACAAAATACCCCAAAAACAGCGCAAAATACCCCAAAAACAGCGCAAAATACCCCAAAACCAACCAAAACAGCAAAAAATACCCCCAAAACCAGCCCAAAATACCCCAAAAACAGCACAAAATACCCCAAAACAGCGCAAAATACCCCAAAAATAGCCCAGAAACGGCGCAAAATACCCCAAAAACAGCACAAAATACCCCAAAAACGGCCCCAAAATACCCCCAAAACGGCCCCAAAATACCCCAAAAACGGCCCCAAAACAGCACAAAATACCCCAAAAACAGTGCATAATACCCCCAAAACAGCACAAAAACGGCGCAAAATACCCCAAAAACAGCCCCAAAACAGCACAAAAACAGCCCAAAATACCCCAAAAACAGCACAAAATACCCCCAAAACAGCGCAAAATACCCCAAAAACAGCCCAGAAACGGCGCAAAATACCCCAAAAATAGCAAAAAATACCCCAAAAACAGCACAAAATACTCCAAAAACAGCGCAAAATACCCCAAAAACAGCGCAAAATACCCCAAAAACAGCGCAAAATACCCCAAAAACAACGCAAAATACTCCAAAAACAGCCCAAAATACCCCCAAACCAGACAAAAACACCCCAAAACCAGCCCAAAACAGACAAAAACGCCCAAAAAAACCAGACCAAAACAGACAAAACCAGACAAAAAACAGACAAAAATGCCCAAAAAACCAGACCAAAACAGCCCAAAAACAGACAAAAACACCCCAAAACCAGGTAAAACCAGACAGAACAGCCCAGAAACAGACCAAAATACCCCAAAACCAGCCCCAAACCAGCCAAAAACAGACAAAAACACCCCAAAAAAAGGCAAAACCACCCCAGAAAACAGAAAAAACCCCAAAACAGACAAAACCAACCCAAAACATCCCAAAAACAGCCATAAACATCCCAAAAACAGCCCAGAAACAGCCAAAACCACCCCAAAAACGGCCCAACAACAGACAAAACCACCCCAAACCAGACAAAACCACCCCAAAACCAGAAAAAAACACCTTGAAACCACCCCAAAACCAGAAAAAAAAACCTTAAAACCACCCCAAAAACAGACAAAACCAGACAAAAACAGCCCCAAAACACCCCAAAACCAGACAAAGAGAGCCAAAACACCCCAAACCACCCCAAATCCACTCCAAAACCACCCCAAATACGGCAACGTGAGCCAAAATCAGCCCCAAATCACCCAGAAGGCACCAAATAGCACCCCAAACATGGAAAAGTCACTCAAAACACCCCCAAACCTTCCCAAATCCC